ACATTTTGGAATTTTTAAACTATCCACTGAAAGTTACAGTTAGTTTCTTTTTTTAAGTAACTGCTGGTTGTGGGTGATCATATATAAATAACAATGTGCTATAAGATAAATCTAACTGTCATAACTGCAAAAGTACTGCACATGCATTATTGGAGTCTGCAACATTTTTACTAACAGTTTAGTTTAAATGACTTATGAAGTGATAGGTTTGTACTGCCAACTGGGTTGAACTTTCAGATGTCTAATTTCCTTGAATCAAGTGATTGTTCTCTTGAGAGCTTGAGGGGTCAATGATTTTTATGAAAATGAAATTTCTGAAGTGCAGTCGCAACATTACTGTTGTTTTCATAAAGCAGTTTCACAAGAAATACATGTTCAGATAAGGTATTGACCATCATAACTCAGCTAATAACAATGATATTTAATAGTTATGCCACTTTTATATCCAGAACAGACATGTGTTTGTTACATGTTTTATACTGACATGTGTTTATTCAAAGAAAGCTGCTTTTTCATTGCTTGCAGTACAAAAAGTGCTATAATGATGAGTTTTAGTACTAATTTTTTTTTACAGAAATGTCTTCTGCATGTTCTAAAATGTCACCATACCAGATTTAGTTGCTTTTAGACTGATCTCTTCAGGCAGCATCGAATAGAGCTATTTAATTATAATCACCTAGTACATAAGTTGTCCTGTAGCAAAGAATAAATCATTGGAGCTACAAGGACAAACTGAAAAAATTCTGACTGGTAGTTTTCTCTTTTCTAGCCAACAGCCTAGGTCTATTTGCTACATTCCAAGTGAAAAAATGTGATTGTAGCATAAGTTTTCATGATGAAACTGAAAGCATATATTATATATATTGCATACTGGCACCACCAACTAAGCTGTGAAGTCTTAGCCATCTCATAGCTACAGTTATGATATAATTGGTTTGGATAAAGGTCTTCAAAAGCAGTTGAATGTATATACAATACATTGTGAAAATATATTTTATAATATATATTAGACTACATTTTTGTTGTGTGTTAAATTAGATTTGATATCTCATTTTATTTATTCTGCATAATCAAAACTATAAACTGTACATAATTGTAATGCATAAATGATTATCTGTTCTCTATTCTCTTATACATAAACCAGAAGTTTATTTATTTATTTATTAATAAAAATATTGTTTAAAAATAANTAATAGAATCAATTGACAGTAGTGGAACTAATAAATACAAAATGAGAAAACTGTACATGTCAAAGGAGGCTCTAGTATCCTGTAGGATATGGTGAGGCTCTAGCCTGGATATAAGATGAGATAGGTTGGACATGAAGGCATATAGATTCTGTAAGGTATCCTGCAGCACATTTGTCTACAGATGAACTGGGCCTCCAGATCTTGCACATTGCAGGCTGGCATCCCAGATGTCCCATAAATGTTCGATTGACAATAAATAGAGAGACAAAACAAGCCAAGGAAGTATTGCTAACTAGGCAGAGAAATTCCTGAGAAAGCTTTGCTGTGTGCAGGCAAGCATTATCCAGCTAAAATATGCCTGTTGGAAGCTTTGCCATGAGAGGGAATACAAGTAGCCACAGATGTGCTACCTATTGCTGAGATATTAGTGTCCCTCTTATCACTACTAGGGTTGACCAACAGTCATATGTGATCACTCCCCTACTGCATGCAATTGACAACAATTTTTCTACAACATGAAAAAAAGGCTCTAAAATCATTCTAATGATCTAGAAGTCTTAACAAAATGATAAAGTATATGGGGTATCTTGTTGTATCTCTATTGTGAGGACATGAAAGATTAAAAGTGAGAATGAATTCTTTTGCTTCTACTTGTGAATGGAATATAGTATTATTTATTTATTCACTGATTCTCTAGTAAACATCTTTAAGCCAATCTTTGTTTAAAATACATTTTAAACTTAGCTTAAAATGTTTTAACTTAAATGATCAATTATTATTAATAGTGCTTAATCCTGACATCTCAACTAAGCAAGTCTTCTTGATATGACAATAAATTATGATGCACTGCACTGGGAAATAGTAAACAATGTACACACAACGAATAACCAGTGTGGAATAATAAAAAACAAAAACTATTGCAAATGTTTTCCAACTCCTTCTGAGTTCTGCTTCAGGCACTATAATGGCTACTAGATGAAATGTTGTTAACAACATAAAAAGCTTTCTTGAAAGAAAAATATAAATTCAACAATACTCATCTATGCTGTTGATATGGAAAAATTGAATGTCTTATTCTAGTGATGGATGCAAAAGGTTCTCATAAAGGGGCAATTTAATTTTAATATATATTTTGCTACTTGAAAGATTCACAAAAACACTAGGAAGATAACCATATTCAAAAGAATTAAAAATTTTACTGATGGAGTAATGAAATCTTCTGTGGAATTAATTTTAATTTCATAAGGAATCTAAGCGAGATTATATTTTCTTATACTATGAGCCTACGCTCCATAAACTCTTTTCAAAAATAGCTACAAACTTAAAATGCAAAGTTGCTTATACCTGGTGCCAGTCTTTAAGCTATTAGCCATCATGAAAGAAAGTAAATATATAAAGAGTGCTCAGAATATAGTACTGCTAACAAAGATTTAATATATAACTGATGTATGTGGGTTCTAAATTTACCTATAAATTGTTGGCATTTAGGATTAAAGAACACACCTATGATATCAAAAATAAGAAACATGTGACTTCTCTAGCTCAATTTGCATCACAACCTGAAATAATACCATGTTGATCTGAAGGTAGACTTTTAAGAAATATATTTGACACAGTGAAAGTTAAAACAACTGAAAACATCAAAAATCTACAAACAAGAATGTATCAGAGGCTGCAATAATAATAAGGATAAGTTAAATTTCCCACAATCTCGGCAGGTTATGCTGAGTTTATATAAGGAATCCTAATATGGTGTAATTTTTAATATCTGAATATACTTTGTTATATTTATATTATCTAACTTTAAGAACATCTAGAAAATAACTAGAATTTATTATTGGCTGAATGTTTGAAATTTTAGAATTATAGTTCTACTGAGCTTCCTTACATTCAAAAATATTTAAACTAACCAAAACCAATAATATTTGAACATCATGCTTACGGCATTCTATCTTATTCTTTCATCTGAAGAGGCTAAAAATATTTGTCTTTGAATACCTTTTGTGCTGGAAGTTGTATGATAAGTGAAAATTTGTTCTTATATAAAGGTTCCAGCTTCTGTGCTATTTATATGAACTATGGCTATGCTGTCTGGAATTTACAGGAATTAATTTGTTTTTATTTTTGTAATTTATTATTAATTCCCTCTATTATAAATTTGAGATTAGAATGGATGAAGAAGCACTTCAGATTCCTGGATGAAGAAGCACTTCAGAAATACTTTCAGTATTTATATGCTAATAGCATAAATTTGAGTTAAACAAACAAACTTAGTTATTATCATATAGTGTGTATTTATTGTTTATTATAGTATTATAAATCAACATTTAAATTGTTATATCATCCATTAATGAGTACTTGGACTCAAAGTATTTTTTTATTGTACTAGTTTTTTAATATCCTCTCAACCATTACAAATTGGTTGGGAGGATGCAAATCAGGAAATGACTGCATTTTGTAATCTATATATATATATAATCAAGACGGGTTGATGATAATAATAAGCACAGAGCATAAAAGGTTAGGAGTTGAAAGTTGAAATTTGGTACACAGTTAGGGTACGTCACAAGAACACACACTAAGAAGGGATTTTTCAAAATCCCCCTGCGGGGAGAGGGACAGGATTAAGGCTTCAACAATGGAAGTGTTAAGAGAAAGCTACATGCAAGATTTACAGGCGCAGATGTGGTTTTTTGCGTTTTTGCAGGAAATCGAACATATTTTTAGACCCATCTATTTTCATCTATTTTTAGACACATCTAAAAATTTTCTAATTAGTCTGTAAATAGGGGGACCTAATTCATGCATTCTGTGAAAATGGGTAAGATTAGCTGTAATGTAATAATCTAAATCTTCTCTATCATTACTTTTTGCCCAAGCAACACTGGGCTTATCAGCTAGTTCTGAATAAAACAGTCATTGCACTGTTTTAAAATACATTGGTTAATTTCTTTCCTAGATTTGAGAATACTTTTTAATAATAAAATAATTAAAATATATAAGATATTACTACCATAAGAAGAGTTACACGTGCTCATATAATGCCTGTCACTCAGCCAAAATAGAGCCATCTCCTAATAATTAACTGTTGATATTTCAATCCATTCAAGATATTTGACACAGGCAAGGTCATCAGAATGGTGTAAGAAACATACATTATCAAATTCAACCTAAATATAGTTATCAGCTGTGAAACTAACCAGCGCAATGGTGAAAGGCCCTTTTGAATTGTGTACTGATGTTCTTTAATACTCATGTTCAAGCATCTAATCATGGCACCAATATATTAATTTCTTATATTTTGTAATTGATTTGTCCATCAATCCACTAAAGTTGCTTATGCACACATTCACAATGATTTCAATTTTTAAATTTATAGTTGTATTATATTTTTATAATATTCATTCAATTCTATTTAAGTTTTTTCTAACCTGAAGATGATAATTTAAAACAGAAGAAAATGTTTGTTTTGTTTAAAATATATCCATTTTTGCTGGTTATTGGTGTCTAGGTGTACATATTACTACATTATACCAGTATTCTGGTAGTGACTGTGTAAATAAATGACAACATGAACTTGCACAAATTACATTTTGATAAACTTTTTTTTACAAACAAAAAATTGTTTTGTAAATTATGTCACTGAAGATAACAGGCAAAAATTATGGTAAATATTTTAATTTAAATAATTAAATAGCAATGATATTATCAAGATAATTATATTTATTAAATCAATAAATGTTATGATTTAACTTATTACAGTACAGCCTTTTACTACTACTTTTCATTATAATATTTTATAATTTTTACCTCCTTCTGGTGTATCAAGATATGCAACTGATTCTTGTCCCCATCCTAAAGCATTTCTTCCTGCAAGACGAAAGACATAACGAGCACCACGATCTAAAAGGAATTATATTTATACATGCAGAGTTATATAATATAGCAATTTGAAATTTGTAAATATATTTAATTAATTTATATATTCTGTTTATAAATTATTTATTATAAACATAATAAAAATCTAATGAATAAATGATATTAAATTTTAAAATCATATTCAGAAAGAAGAAAAAAAGTTGTTCGATTTCATTTTTGCTTTTTGATTTCTTGAGTGAATCTATTACACTAGTTTTTGACACAAAATGCTATTTATTTATTTGACTTACCTAAATTCTGAACAATTGTTGTATGATCCAATGGATTTATTTCCAATTCTTCCATATGAATACCATCAGTTCGTCCATAACTTAATCTGTAGCTCAGCAATTGACCATAGATATGAATAGGGCGTGTCCACTGAATCTGAACTTGAAGATGAGGTTCTTCCTGCATTAACTGAATGCTAAAATCGGGTTTAGTTGGTACTAAATAAGAAAAAAAATTAAGTACAGAAATTAATTTTAATGAAACAAATTGAACTTTTAATTATATCTAATTTCAAAATAATTATTATTTAAAAAATTATATTATTTTCTGTTCTCATTCAAGTATAAGGTTCGTTTTCAAGTATTGTTATTATAATCATATTACCTATTAATCATTATTCACATTATTATTAAGAAGTCTTATTATATTGAGAATTTTATCTATACTAATATTATAAAGAGGTAATGTTTGTAACTTTGTATGTAGGGGTAATCTCCGAAACTACTCATTCAATTTCAAAAATTCTTTCACCAATATTTAGAATGGAACTTCAGGGTAGACATAGGCTGTATATTATTCTGTTAAACATTCATATAAATTAAAAGGTATCATCTAGGGCAGGGGTCGGAATTAGCGGCTCCTTGCATAGACGTTTGCGGCTCTTCGGAAATAAACTCCAATTTCATCTCACCTCATTTCACCGCAGCCTTATAACTTATGAGTTTATGAGATAGAGCTGCCGAACAAACTTCGACTTGTTCTCCGTCCGCACATGACCACACTCGCGTTGATCAATATGAGTCGCATAAGAGTGGTAGCATTTGAAGCATATCTATATATATATAACCCATTGAACGCGTGTCCGTCCATTCGTGTAACGTTATGCCGAAAACGGCCACTAGAGGCGCCTCTGTCGTGTGTCGTATTTTGCACATTTAAATTAATATGAGGCTCTCTGGTACTTTTGTTATCCTGTTTTCATGACAATTTGGCTCTTCTCACTTGACAAACTGCCGACCCCTGATCTAGGGTTAAGGCTTTTATGTCCAACAGATGGCGCTACTAGTATGATAACCTAAGCTTGCTTTTCTGTGAGGATGAACTAAAGCAGATCATCTTCTATCTATCTATATAAATAAAAATGTAATGTTCGTTTCTTCCTACCAATTCCTTTGAAATTTTGACACAACGCTGCATTCGAATACACACGTTTTTATATAATATACATGTTGAAATTCCCCCCACTGGGGGGAGATGGACAGGAATAAGGCTTACCGTAAAGAACTCTGCTTCTGTTTATATTATTTTAGATGCAGTTTTTGCATTTTTGATTGCATTTTAATAGGGTACGTCAAGAGAACATACACTAAGAATGGATTTTTCGAAAAATTCCCCTCCACGGGGAAAGTGTTATACATTTATAATAGATACACTTGGAGCCACAACAACACGTGGCGGAGTCTGCTAGTATAGAATAATTTTAAAACCTAATAAAATTTACAACATGTTTACAACATAAATATTCTTAATATAATATTAAAATTGTGTGTAAAAATGTCAAAAATTAAAAAACATTAATTTTCAATAGCTAATAGCCAATTAAATCTGTAATACCTAATTTTTTCATATATTAGTTTATGAACTGTAATTTAAAATTTTATAATGCAATTAAAATTATTCAACCTAATACTTACCACCCCCTAATGTTTTCACTGTTTTCGCTCTGCTACGTGTCCCATCTCCTTTTCTTGTAACAGCTGCAACTTGTACTGAATATTCAGTATCAGGTTGTAAGTTTGTTACATTATATTCTTCTGCATCTTCTTCGGCCACATCGTATCTTATTGGTTCATTTATCAAATCGCCTTCTTTATTCATTTCTTGTACATGAATCTGATATCCACGAATTAAACCATTACGATCTCTATTGGCAGGAGGTTTCCAACGTACACTAATTGCAGTACTATTAATTGGTGTGACTTTAATTTGCTTGGGTTCACCGGGAACTAAAAAAATTAAATATTTCTCATTAATCAATTAATAATAACCTTAATCTTAAATGTGAAGAAAATTTCATAATTTGTATATCAAGTAATTTTAAACATGTAAGCTACAAAAGCAAAACACAATATATGTTCAATTGTTATCTCTTTTAACTGAATATCTTCAAATTAAATACACAAAAAATCAAAAATCTAGCAGTTTATAACCTTAATTTTTAAAAATGACCAAAAGTATTTTTTTATTTAGAAAGTAAAAATTAAGGTTATAAACTGCTAGATTTTTGATTTTTTGTGTGTGTTTAATTTAGCAAAATGTGTTCTTTTTCAAAATTATATTATTAATTTTTACATAAATTGTCATTGAAAGTGAACTACAAAAATTTCCAATTAAGTTTTTTGTAGTTCATTTTATTCCATTGAATCATAAAAAAATAACCTAAAATTTTCTATGACTTACTTTTGGAATTTTTTTATTATGTATGTATTTAAACATAGAATGTTTAAATAGTTGCATATTTGTATATTATGAAAGAAAAACCATATTAATATCATTAATAGAAAAATAAATAAAAAATTATTAAAACTGAAACTTAGGACGTAGATATGTCCTCGAAGTTTCAGTTTCCTATTTTCATTAGAAGTGGATGAAATTTGAGGAAACATACAAAGCAAGTTAAATAAAAGCATTTAAAAATAATTGAGTACTTGTGATGAAAATGATCATCAAATGAATTTGAAAAAGAATTTTAATTTTCTGTGTCTATACAGTGAGAGAAATTATTAACATGTTCATTATTTTCTAAATATGGGTTCAACCATTTCAGGCTTGGATATTAAGTTTTATTTCATTTTAATATGGACAACAAGAATTTATAACTGAAACAAGCTTTTGTTTATTTACTTCATATTTATTCAAATAATTCACTTAAATAATTTAATATTACATTCTAAATTTTAAAAATTTTATATGAATTTAAAATACTTATAATTTTAATTCTATGAATTTTGATTTCCACTATAGAGTTTTACACCTATATATTTTCATATTGAGTGTACATCAGAATAAAGAATGGTGTTGCAACATATAATTGGATTTCATTCATATACATGAAATATATTATTTTATAGTATATGATAATATAAAAGCCCTGACTACATTAACTACATGACTATCTACATTATTTAACATGCTAAATAAGAATTCAAGGCAAGACAAAAATTATAGAAATTTGAAGAAAGACATCTGAATATGCTAATTTTGTGTTTTTATTTATAATATTAAAAATAAAAATATATCAATATTTATATTGTTTTTCATGTAGTGGATACTTCTGATATTCTGGTGAGATTTGCCAATAATTATTTGGCTGAATTTAAAGACACAGATTCTATGTATAAATATAATAAGCGGTATTTGGATATTTTTAATGAGTGAGTTTTGGTGACTTATTTAAATACGGAAAGACCATTTCATGTTATACAGATGGTTCTTCATGTACGTTGTAATATGTTAGAGAGTATGACAGCCTTGTGTTTGGATTATTGTGAATTTTCCATTCCTGTATTAATTTTGATGATTTCCACTTGCCAACATTGCTTGAAAAAAGTTTTATTCTTAAAAAAAAGTTGTAAAAGAAAAAGATTGGTAATTGAAGTTATAAGCAAAAAAAATCAGACAAATGCCAAACACAGTGAACATATAGACAACATCCTTGAAAAACAGATGGTTGAGAGCTTTGAGTAATAAAAGTACAAATATGATAAATATAAAAAATTTACCTATACAAGATTAAAATTATATTTAAGGGAAAAAAATACCATACTTATGTAAACGTGATGCATTAAAAAGTGAAGATGGTTAAAAAATAAAGAGATATCTTGTTTTTACAAATAGCTTTGTATACTAAGAAGTCAAGATATAAAAAGTTCTCACAAAATCTTTCATATAATATTTGGCTCTATAGTAAAAAGATTGATGTTATGTACTCAAATGGTGCAACAATCTATATAAACATGAGAAATTTCTTGTATATTTAGTCAAAATATATTATTTTACTTTTTAATATCTGAAAACCCTAATCTTGCTCTTTCAAAGTTGCCAGAATCAGTATGTGGTAGATGACATATTTTATTAAGTAAAAGATACTTTTGATAGAGCTTTGGAACATTATAAGTTAAAGAAAGAGCAGCTGAAGACCATACTAGAAGACAGTAATCTATGATTGATTGGAACTTTGTAAAAAGATTATTTCTTCACCTTCAGCTATTGATGCAGTTTTATATTTCATGTTGCCAATATTTATTTGTTATTTTACTGGGAAATCATAATTAAATTACAGCTATTTAATGCTGTTTATAGAAATATATAGCAGTTCAAATCAATCAAATTTGTTATGGTGATATTTCAAGACAAGTAGATGATGTCTCTATAAAAAAAAACTTTGCAGCAAAACTCACTACTATGGCAATTTTGGCACTGAAAGTAACAAAAATTTTATCTGTATAACACAATCATGCAATACAGAGACCTTAGCAATTCGGGATAACCTGTCTAATTTGGTTCCCATTTCTAAAGGTCTAAAATCTGAAGGAAATGATTAATTGTGATTATAGCAATCATAACTGATCCTCTGTGATGCTTCTCATAAGCTGTCTTTCAAGGCTGCCAAATATACATGTTCTCAACAAACCATGCTTTTTGTGTGTCCCACAACCAAATACTACACTAATTAAAATCTGGAAAATGAGATGGCCAGGGTATAGAAATACACAACTAATCAGTGAAATGTTGTCACAGAAACTGCTGTACACAGCATCTGATATGTGGAAGTGGTCTATCTTGCATGAAAGTGCATGTGACAATCCACAGTTCACTCAATGCATTGTGGATGTTGCTTGTTGCAGATGGAGTATAATAAAAGTGTTGATCTCAGTATCTCTGAGCTATCACAGAGCATATCAAAGGCCCACTGGGGCTAAACTTCTTCAGAGAAGAATGATCCAAAGATAAATGTGGTGGTGAATCCACTCCAGATTATAAGTTTAGGTAAGTGCAGTGGAATCTGAGGGTTTTCCATGCCCAACAGCAACAGTTATGGATATTCACAGCTCCACTGAGATGAAAATGTACCTTATTGCTCCCAAAAATAATCCATTGCTACAACACATCATTTCCATTCTGGCAAAGAAAGTCAATAAAAAGATCAACCAAGTTTCCCTGTCAGTGGTAAGTAACTTCTGCTAATTCAATCGAAACAATGGATTAATTCAATGGATTCTTTCAAATCCACAAAAAAGAAACTAACCTTAATCTTCAGTTGATAGTTTAAAATTCTATACACTAAAGATGGCCTTGAAAAGGCTAAAAACATTTTGGAATTTTTAAACTATCCACTGAAAGTTACGGTTAGNACACAAGTTCTCCATCTACTTCAATATCAATTTTTAAAAATTTCATAATAGATTTTAATCCATGAAAGTCTTTTTAGTTCCTAATATAATTCATAATTTAAAAACTTATTCAAATACATAAGAGAGAACAAAAAAAAAAAAAACCTATTATTATATACACCATTTTACATACTGAATTGTTATTAAATCATAAATAAATGTGTAAAAAGTATTATATTGTTATATTACAAGGCACACGCTGCTTATTTTTCTTAAAAAAATTTTTCTGCAGATATTAATTAAATAATATTTGATTAAATTAAATTGAGAATAACAAAAATTGTAAAGAATGAAGAAATGTTATTTTATTTTAGCTATCTTCCTGATTTCAAATATTAAAATTTAATGTTCTGCTATTCAGAAAATTTACTTCATCAAGTGAAGAATAAAAGCAATTTGTCTTCATGCTGTTATCATAAAAGAAAGAGAGAAAATAAAAAATTAACATTAGAAATTAAAAAATAAATGATAATAATGTGCTTTTTTTATTCATGTTTACTTATAAGTAAGCCATTGTTTTCTCCATTACTCATATATTTTGATTTTGCATTTATGACAAAAATGTCAAATAAGTTTATTTAGTTCGTTCTGTATATTATATTAAGTTGATTTTAGCTGAAGACAAAGTATATAGACGGTCATTATCATCAAGATTCTTTTTAGAATACTGATATATAGTGTAATGACGATTTTTTCTCTGAGGATTTGGCATTTGAAATATCTTTTATAGTAAGCTCATTATTTTCAACATGAACTTTATTAATGAAATATTGTATTTCTACTACATAAGTTTTCTTGATTATCTGACTAAGATTCTTAAGAGTATGAACAAAAGATGTAATTAGTGAAGAATGTTATAGACATATTCTGAATCTGTTAAACAACTAGCTATATATTGGCATATAGTTATGCATTCCAATATATATAATGCAAGAATGTAACCAGAAATTTTGGAGTGTGAATCACCTGCATCACTGATGGTTTGCATACAATTAGCACTCATATGTGAGCTACTGTAAAAATGCAATAACCCAAGACCACTATTATCACATTATTATGCAAGGAGCTGCATATTGTAGCTTCATTCAGGATCAACTACTTATAACTTTTTTTAACACTGTTTACTTTTAAACTTGGACCAGCAGTAGAGACTGACAGACAGTGGGGGGCAGAAGATGTTACCACTTGTGATTATATCCCTGATAAAACATATTTGTATATCATATACTATTACCAGTATAATATACATTATAAAGGCTGTACTAACTGGAATGCAAAGTGATGCACTACCCCAGGATTCCATGTCTGAAAAGGCAGCACAATTTAGTCATCTACTTTTTTCCTTTTTTAACATTTTATACAATATGTATAAAATATACATACATGTATGTATTTAATGTACAGTACTTTATGTATAATGCGTAAAAATAAAATTGGATAATTATTATTAATATATAATTTCAATTATCTTGCATAAATTGCTAAAAGTAGTTAGATATTCCAGATAAAAAATTTATCACACTAGGGCAGCAATTTATCTTTGTGTGGCCCAA